TACCATGTGATTTTGAGCAACCCACATGTTGTCACTGGAAGAGGACTGAGGAAGAGATGCCTGCAACTGGCTCTCATGAGCTGGCTCCAGCACGCCATCAGATGTGCCCCAAACTCTGTAAAAACCTCATGTACATCATCTGGTTTAAACCTCACACAAGTGTATGAGCTCGATGGTATTGTTGTCATCTATTTTTAGAGGCAAAGAAATTGAGATTCAGAGAGGTTAACTATTTTCCCCAAAGTCACACAGCTAACAAACAGCAGAGTTCAGACTCCACCACTTAGTTAGTAGCTGTGTGACACTGAACAAATCACTAAGTCTCTCTGTACGTCGTTTTCCCTTCCTTTCAGTGGGAGCTAACAGAACTTTCCTCCTATCCATGTGAGATACGCATGGAAAGAAGCGTCTGGCCCAGTCTTTACAAATACATGGAATTCACCAACATTTCATGTGCTGTGCGCTGTACTGTTCTAAGTTGCTTCTGTTGTGTCTGATTCTTTGTGACCCTATGGACTGTGGCCCACCAGGCCCCTCTGTCCATGGGATTCTCCAGGCAAGAATACTGAAGAGGGTTGCCCTGCCCTCCTCCAGGGGATCTGCCCAACCCAGGGATCAAATCACATCACTTGCATCTCCTGCATTGGCAGGCAAGTTCTTTACCACTAGCACCACCTGAGAAGTCCAACATTTCATACATTTACTCAACAAATATTTGTTGGGCAACTCTGTACATTAAGCCCTGTGCTGAGGCCTGGTGGTCCAGTGGAAAAAAGGACACATGAAGTTCCTTATGGAACTTACATCCTAGGTGAGAGACTGGCAACAAACAAGGAAATAAATTAGCAAGATAATTTTACCTGGAGACTCGTGTCACAAAGAGGGCGGTGAGCAATCTTAGATGGAGTGGCCAGGGAGAGCCTCTCTGAGGAGATAGCTTTTGATTTGAGACCTGAAGGATAAGCAGGAGCCAGACCTGCAAAGAGAAAGGGAAAGAACATCCCAGACAGGAAAAGCTGCAAGTGCAAAGGCCCTGAAGTGGGGACAAGTTTGATGTTTCTGAAGGACAGAAATAAGGATGAGGAGGTTGTCAGACTGCTTGCTCAGCTCCTTTCAGGACACCCACCGGGCTCCCTGCCGGGTGCCCAGCCCAAAAGGACGGAGCAAAGTGAAGGCTAACTCCAGCCCTCCTGACAATCCCACACTTCACCTCGGGAGCCTCTTCCTCTTTGACCTAGAGACTGGAAAACACAGGGCTGGAACCTCCTTCTGTCTTCTATCCCAAGAGCCCTCTGACATGAGCAAAGGGACCATCGTCATCCCCATTCTACAGATGAGAAGCCTGAGGTTCAGAGAGAATTATGTGATTTTTCCCAGAGTCACAAATGTGAATGTTGACCTTTCTCCTACCCTGACTTCAAAGCAAGTCAGATGGGCGAGGTGGTGCTAATTTCCACTTGACTGAGGTGGTAGAGAGCCCTGGGGTCTCCAGCCGAGGCCATGAATGGTCCAGGGACTGGAAAGCTGGCGCGGACGCCCTCTGCTGGTGGCCACAGGACCATCCTCGGGATGAGCGCCGGGAGGAAAAGGTACCAGGTAAGAAGGCCAACGTCTCTGATGCCCTGCCTCACTGCCCACCTGGAAATGCCACGGGGGTCCTAGACATGAGTTCAAGTGCTGGGTTCCAATCGGGTCAAGGACTGGGCGACTCTGCGGCATCAGCTGCAGGGGCTCTTGTCTCTTCCCTGTTGATCTGAAGGAAGCCCAGGTGGGTGGGAGCAGCCTGTGAATCAGCGAGACCACCCACCTGTGCTCAGGTCTCAGACCAGAGGTTCTTCACGTGGCAATTTACAGGACCGAGAGGAAGAAGGTGGATAACATCCTCTTGTAACACCATCACCACCATCGGACCGCAGACGGTCCAGAGTGTCCCTCCAGTGACTCTCCTTGGAGCCTTCCCTCCCCGCTTCCCTCTCTCTCTCCCCTCCCCTCTCTCCCTCTCTCTCTCCTTCTCTGCCCCACCCCTCCCTTCCCCTAAAGCTGGTTATATAAGAATATAACCTCCCCAGAGCACCCCCCCACAGCAATCCTTCATGATTCATTAACTAGAATTAGTCTCTTGCTTCTCTCCAGCCCGATCACTGGGAGGGGAGATGGGACTAGCAAGACTGGCTGAAGTGTTTTTCAAAGGATGGGTCACAAAACGTGGATCAGGAACCAAATTAACAGATGGCAACCAGACTTTCTAAAAAGTAAAATAGAATAGAAAATACCAGCACACGTTGCTCATAGTAAGCCCAAGCGTAATTTTGTAAAAATCGTTTCAGCTCGTGTGTGTGTGAGTGTGTGAGGTATACTGAGATACTATATAAAATTTATTTTCTGTGGATACTGGGTGAAAAGAAAACTAGTAACTTAGAATTGTTCTGGATGGAATTGATGATGGACAAATAGAATGACCAGGAACTCTGCTTAAATGTCACTTTCTTGGGGATGCATTACCGTGACTTCCCTGGTGGTCTAGTGACTAGGACGCTGTGCTTCCAATGCAGGGGGTGTGGGTTCAATCACTGGTTGAGGAACTGAGATCCCACTTGCTACACGATGTGGTCAAAACCTAAAATAAAAAGAAAAAAACCATGGCTCTCCAACTCACACTGCTGTAATACCTTCAAAATTCTTACAACAAGTGTAATTATCTATTTGTTTCCTGCCTTCCTCCCTTACTACACCATAAGTGCTAGGAAGCCAGGGACCAATCTTTTGTGTTCACAGTGGCCCCCTAACTGAAATGCCTTCATAAGGGCAGAGTCTGGTGGAAGGTTTAGAACCAGATAGATCTGGTTCCAACACCTACTTTATCTCCACTGTCAATTAACACCAAGTAGATCACTTCATCTCTCTAAAACTCAGTTTCCACATCTGTAAAATGGGAGCAATCATGCCCACTTTGCCTAATTCTAAATTGACTATTCATAACAACAACCCAGCTCAGTCTCTAACACAGGAGAAGACCATCCATGCACATGTGTTAAATTATTGAATGGGTTTCCCTTCCCACTTTGATAGTCTTTGCTTTCTGATAATTGAGGACAGTTTGATTCACGTGTGTTCTGTTATAATTATCTAACAACCACTCATGTTATAAAGCTTATGGATTGTGTGTCAGGAATTTGAACAGGGCAGAGTGGGGATCTAATACTACTTTCCCCACAGGACATTGAGAGTACAGAATTACATATTTGTAAATCATGCAGAGCATCACCAGGCAATACCCGGTGTTTCACACACATTAGCCATCATTCGTTATAAAGACTGACAATGGGACAATGGGATCTTGCCAGAATACTCCCCTGGCAAGTTCCCTCTCATTCTTTCTTTGTCCATTTATCAGATTTGTAGACAGAGCAAGCTCTTCAGAGAAGAAGGGGAAGAAGAAGGGGGAAGAGAGGGATAGATCGATAGATAAATAGATGGATGGATAGATAGATGGATAGACAGAGAACTGTAACTACCCATACATTCGCCCCTTGCCACAGTCAAGCACAGCTAAGTGTTTCACATGGATTTTCCCCACATCAATCATGTGAGCCTACCAAGGACACTCCGAGGTGGGTTCTATCATTATCATTCCGTTTCACAGATGAAGAAATAATTTTTAGAGAGCATAACCGATGGATCGCCAGCAGCAAACAACTGTCAGCATCAGTTAGGTGCAGGCAGGAAGCTAGACTCCCTGGAGGCAGTCTCTATGCCTCTTATGAGGCTTATGTGGTCCCACCTTCAAGAAGCTTCCTCTAGTGAAGAGACAAGTCCTTTCATTCATTCAACTACCCTTAAGCATCTTTTCTGCAGCAGGAACACAGCTTAAGATTCCTAACAGGTTTTTGCCTGTGAATGGCACCGTCTTAGAGACGGGAGAGATTCCTGTGGGAAGGTCGGGGGGTGGGGTCACCCTCGAAGAATTTACAGGTCTTCTTCAGGAGGAAGGAAAGAAAATTGGAGAAAGTAAGCAAAAGAAAGTGAAAAGGTGACAAGATGAGACGTTTAGGAGGAGACAGGAGCAACCCAAGTCCAGCGGAGCAAGTAGCTTTCCTTTCCCGCACGCAGCTCTGGGTCTCTGCTCCCCATTTGTCAGGAGCAGGGCTGAGGTTTCTGCCCGGGAGAACAGGATAGGAGCCCGGAACTGTGCTGGGAAGCCAGAGGGTCTCCGACTCCTCCCCTACCCGCCGCCCACCTCCGGGTCCAGAGGAGATGCTCCAGTAGAGAAAGAAGAGAGGAAGCAAAGCTCAGGGTAGGCGCGCACGAGCAGAGTGCACCGCTCCTTTTTCAACTTCCTTTCCCCACCGCACCCTGCGTCCCCCATCTGACCTCGTGCGGTGCCAGGAGCTGGTGGAAGGAACTGATGCCGGGCTGGGGCAACAAGAATGAGCCACGTGGCATCAGTGGAGAGGACAAGAGAACATAGAGGAGCCTGCCTGGGGGCGGGGGGTGGGGTGGGGGGGTCGTGCAGAGCCAGGGAAGAAAGAGGTTAGAGAGGCGAAGGTCGGTCAGTCCGCGCACCGAGCTTCATCGACTGGATCCCGAGCCTGGAGTTCTGAGCCTCCGGAACCTGGAGAGGAAGGAGAGCTGAGAGACCTCCTGCAGTCGGTCCTGAAGGAGGCGGCGTTCGGGTGCCCGGTCCCCTGCTGGAGCGCGACCCTACAATCCAGAACGCTCTCCTGCAGTGAACCCCACCCCGGGAGCGATCGTTCCAACTGAGCAGCACGACCCTAATTCCTGAAGCCCCCGAGTTCCCAGCGTCCCGGCCAGTGGCAGTGAGACCCCGCCTGGAGTTGGGAGAAACCAGTTAAGCTGGAGACGGCTGCGAGACCCCACCCCCGTCTCCCATCCCGAGACGCGCAGCTTCCTGCAGGGAGATTCTCCGAGGACACCTTTTCACCCGCGAGTCATTCCCCAGCTCGCTGCTGCCTTCGGGGAGGCAGCGCGGACCGGGGCGCATGGAGAAGCCTACGGAGCGCTCTGAGCGCGCAAACTTGTCCGGCCCCGGCTTCATGCCCCGCCCTCCACTGACTGTCCAGGCAGTGACCTTGACCCTGGTGCCCCTCGTGTGCGCCGTGGGGGTGGCGGGCAACGCCATGGTGGTCCTGGTGGTGGTCCGGAGCCTCCACACGGTCACGTCCACCAACTGTTACCTGGTGAGCCTGGCCACCGCGGACCTGCTGGTGCTCCTGGCGGCCGGAGTGCCCACCGTGACCGAGGCGGCCTCCGCCCGGGTTTGGATCTTCGGCCACGCCGGCTGCCTGGGCATCATCACCTACCTGCAGTACGTGGGCATCAACGCGTCCACGGGCTCCATCACCGCGTTCACGGTGGAGCGCTACCTCGCCATCTGCCGCCCTCTGAGCGCCCAGGCTCTGTGCCCCGCGGCGCGGGCCAAGCGCATCGCGGCGCTGGTGTGGCTGGGCACCGGCGCCTGCTGCGTGCTCTGGCTCTTCTTGGTGGACACGCGCGAGGCCGCGTACGCCGACGGCGTGCAGGGTCAGTGCGGGCACCGCGTGGCGCGCTCGCTCTGCCTGCCTGCCTACTTCTGGACTTCGCGCTCCTCCACGCGCTGCCCCTGGGCTTGGCCACCGTGTGCTACGCGCTCATAGCGCGCGTGCTCTTCGCGGGGCCGCTGCCTCCTGGCGACCCCCCGCGGGCCAAGGGCGCTTGTCTTCCCGCGGCCGGAGGGGAGCCCTCAGCTCCCGGAAGCAGGTAGGGCCCTCCTCCCCGCCTCCTTCGGACCCCTGTACTGAGCCTGCAGCAGATTGGTGGATGGCACCTTGGGCCCTTCTGGAGTCAAAAATGTAGTGAACGGATTAGTGGCTCAGTCGTGTCCGACTTTGCGACCCCGTGGACTGTAACCCGCCAGGCGCCTCTGTCCAAATTCTTTAGGCAAAAATAATGGAGTGGGTAGCCATTCCCTTCTCCAGGGGATGGTCTTCCCGCCCTGGGGGTGGAATCCAAGTCTCCTGCATTGCAGGCAGATTCTTTACCGTCTGAGCCACCAGGAAAGCCCTCTGGAGTCAAACTCAAATCCAGGTCGTGCTGGTTATTGGGCTGGTTTTGGGAGACATCACTCCTGCCTTTCTGAGCCTGTTTCCTCTCCTGTTGCGTGAGGTCATGGCAATGTGGACCACTTTGGAGTGCCCACAGAACTGGAATAATTCCTTTAGAGTCGATGTCACAAACTTGGGCTTTCCTCGTGGCTCAGATGGTAGAGTCTGCCTGCAGTGCAGGAGACCTGAGTTCGATCCCTGGGTTGGGAAGATCCCCTGGAGAAAGAAATGGCAACCCACTCCAGTTTTCTTGCCCGGAAAATCCCATGGACAGGGGAGCCTGGCAGGCTACAGTTCATGGGGTTGCAAAGAGTTGGAACTAAAGGCTAAATTCACGTTGGTTTATTATTAAACTTCCTCAGCGGGTCCCTCCACCATAGCCGGTATTCCCCTTCTTCTACTGATGAGGAAAGTGAGGCTCAGAGAGGTGAAGTGACTTTCCAAGACTATTCCACACCCTCTGGTGCTAAAGCTGCTTCAACGGACATTCTGAAAGCAAAGAGGAGACTGGGTCCTGGGGAGGAATCCAGCATTTACTGAGCACTTGCTGTGTGCCTGATTATCTGGTGGTTCCTGAAATCACTCCTGTTTGGGAGGTTTACTACCTGAATTTACGGACAAGGCAACAGGCAGAGGGGACATGGGAGTGACCGAGGTGACACAGAAGCGGACCTGGGAGCGGGACCCCAACTGCCCAGACTCCCTGTATCTTCAGCCCTGTCCCAGCAGTTTCACCATACCACGGGGCTTCCAGGAATGCGGGTGGGAGGACCGCTCTCTGGGTCCAGCTGGTCTTTATCTTCAGCCTTCCACCCCGGCCCACAGCTCATGTGGGAGGTGGAGGCACCTTGTCCTGGCTGAATCACTCCTGAGCCAGGCAAGAACTATCTGTGCCATCTCCCTGCCTCGTGGGATGGGCATGCCGTTGGGGGAGGGGAGGGGCTCTTCCAGCTGCCTCCAAAAGCCCATTTGGCCCATCCTGCTAGTAGACAACTTAGATCAAAGTAGTTTTTAGAGGGAAGGTGGCAGGACACAGGCTGAGCAGGTCTGAAATAGAAAGTTTAGGTTCCAGACAAATGCAACTCCTACCCTCCCACTTATTTACCACTGTTACTGCTCTCAGGCTCAACCTGGAAGGACTGGGATCAAAATCCTGCCTGATCTATGCTGTAGGTGAAACTTATGGTAGTGAAAAGAGTATTCTAGACCTAGGTTCTGGTCCCTAGCTTTGCTAATGTCTTGCTATGTGGCTTTGGGTAAGTCACTTCACCTTGCTGAGACTTGATTTCCTCCACTGGAAAATAAGAATAATTATAGTGTATATCTACCTCAATGGATGATAGTAAATATAAATCTGACATATAGTAAGTGTTCAGTTATGGTACCTGTTGCTATTGTTTTGGTGGGGCATTAACAAAGGGGTCTATGGACTGAGCATCCCTTTCATGCCTAAGAGAGTCCTTGAAGAACGCAGTGTACAATTCCAACAGGGAGAAGGCATTAAATTAAGGAAATCAGAAAGCCCAGTACAAGGTGGAGCATAATAATAACAACAGTGAACATTTATTGGGTATTTGCTTGTGCCAGGCACTGGTCTTAGTGCTTTACACAAGTTTACATGTTGAATTTTTACACCAACTCCGTGATGTATCGTATGTCATCATCTCAGAGGAAACTGGGTCACAGAGGCTGCCCAAGATCACAGAGTTGGTAAGTGACAGAACCAAGATTTGAACTCAGGAAACCTGGCTCCAGAGCCCACCACCCTGCTGGTATTTCTCACCCAAGTTAATGTAAAATAGAATGGAAAAGGATCTGAATTTAGTACAATCAGAAGTCAAGACCTAGGGAATTCCTGTGATTTTTTCATGGTTCCTGGAGAATATTATATAACATGAATTTATTGACTCAGCCAGAGCCAAGCCTCTTAGCAGAGGAACTAAACTCACAGACTCTAAGAAGTAAGCGTATGCTGGAACACCAGGCTAGCTTCTGCCTTGATGAGAAAGTTGTCTCTCCCGTATTCCCCAGAGCTGATAGAATGTATCCAGGGTTTTCCGGTCACAGAACCAGTGACAGGACTATTTGAGCAGTTTAAGCTCATTAAGTGGACGTTTGCCACCATGTTTTGTTCTCTGGAGGGGTCACTGAGGATTCCAAGGTCCGGGGCACGTGTGCGCCGCTATCCTTCGCTGTTAGTGATGTCCCGGCTCCCTTGACAGACGCCCCCTTGTGGTGATTTCATTCCAGGATTTAGAAACTAGGCATCTTTTGAAACACCTTCCAGTGGGCACTCCTCTTGGAGGCTTTATTTAGTCTGTGCTGTGAGGGAAGTGCTGCGGAGACCTGAAGGAACTGAAGAGGAGGGGGCAGGGAGGGGCAAACAGGTGGCTAAGAGCAAAGGCAGGAAGGAGGGTCAGAGGGAGGGAGCGGGGCGAGTGAAAGAGCCGGAAGGAAGCCTGTGGCTGCCTCTGCTGGGGAGAAGCGATCTAGCTGGAGAGAGGGACAGTCCGAGGCCAAACAGCTGGTTTGTGGTGGAGCCAGGATGCTAACCCAGCTGTGCCCGTTCTGAACCCCATGCATTTGCAATAGTGGCTATGTTAGTAGTAGCAGCTGCAGTAGTAAACCCACAAAAGCATCTTATATGCTTGGCACTAATCTACATTCTTTACTGGCATGAACTCCTTCAATTCTCTTGTCCACTTATGATGACAGCAGTACCGTGTCTCCATCTTATAGAGGAAGGGACTGAAGCTCAGTGGATGAGTGAATATTGCTTCCAATATGTGGGAGCTGCCCATTCAAAGGCTTTGGGGGTGGATTGGAGCTGGGAGGTTTCTGAAGACTGGAGCAGAGCAGAGAAGGATGCAGAGCGGTTTTCTGGGTGAGGATGGAGTTGAAGTGAGGATATGCGTGCAATCACAGGTTGGCCGGGCCCGCACACTCTTGTGTTACTTGTCTTGCAAGCTCACAGAGAGACCTGGAAGCCAGGATTCTCCCTCGAAACCCATGCGGTTCTTTTTTTCCTGTCTCACCCGGCAGGTCACCAAGATGCTGGCTGTGGTGGGGGTCCTTTTCGCTCTGCTGTGGCTGCCCTACCATGCCCTGGTGGTGGTGAATTCCTTTCTAAGCCCGCCCTACCTCAACCTTGGCTTCCTTCTCTTCTGCCGCCTTTGCATCTACGTGAACAGCGCCGTCAACCCCATTGTCTACGCCCTCATGTCCCAGCGTTTCCGGGAGGCCTTCCATGGGCTGTTTCAGTACCATCTGGCCCGGCCCAAGGCCCTGCCCCGGGAGGCCAGCCTTGTTTACTACGGGGTCATCAGAGACTGTTCCCAGCACAGACTGGGCTCTTGGAAGAAACCAGGGGGTGTGATGTCCAGACAGGAAGGGGATCCTGCCACTTCACGGTGAGACCCCCCACTTACCCCTGTTGAGGTGGAGGGGTCTCCATGCATTTGAGGAGACATGGGTATTGGAGGAGAGAGTGGTGTCCAGGGCTGTTCAGGAGAGGTGCACAAGTTGTGCACTGCACAACCCAGGGGTCACTATTTACATCACAGACAGCCTAGATTTATGTATTTAGTAAAACAGTTTCCTGGTTAAATGAAAATACAAATCTAAGAGATGCTGCCAAAAATTTATTATATGAATAAATGAATGAATGAAAATGAAAGTTGCTCAATCGTGTTGGATTCTTTGTGACCCCATGGACTGTACAGTCCATGGAATTCTCCAGGCCAGAATACTGGAGTGGGTCGCCTTTCCCTTCTCCAGGGGATCTTCCCAACCCAGGGATTGAACCCAGGTCTCCCGCATTGCAGGTGGATTCTTTACCAGCGAGCCACAAATGAATTGATAATGAATAAAAATGAATTTTAATCTTAATACTCAAGACCCTTTGCTGAGATCTGGCTTCCCGTTTGAGGAAGATTTGAGGTGTAGGCTGTGACTTGTTGTCAGTTCTCTGTCAGCAACAGAAAGTATCTCTGGCTAATGAAATCAGAAAGGAATTGGTTGGAGCCAGAAAGAATCATAACCAGGATAACTCCAGGGATCTACATGGCAAGTATTAATGGGCAATGGCTTCATAGCATCCATATCAGAGTGAATCCACTCCACCTAGACCAGGAGTTAAGATGGACAACTTACTGCACCATCGTTCAGTGGCTGACACTGAAAGGTGTAAAGGCTGAGTACTGCTCAGTTAGTTCCAGTGGACACCACTCTGCAGTTTAAACGGAGGGATCCCATGAAGCTGTGCAGTGCACAGCCTATGTGAGTGTATATGGTAGACCTTAATGGGAATAGGGTTGTTTCCCAAAGAAAAATGGAAGTTCTTGTCATCAGGAAAAAGTGGTATATATGTCAGGAGGACCAAACAAAAGCGAAGCAACTAACAATAATAGCTATCCATCACAGATGAGTCCACCCAGGTTAACAGCAGCGGGAGCCTTCCCCCCGGGCAACGAAGTTCACCTGCCATCAATGGCCGCTGATCTACCTAGCGGCCATAGTGGGAACTGCATTATCCAATATCTGCTGGCGCCTCTGCCTTTTTTATTGTTTTCTTTCTCTTCTCTATCTTCCCTCCAGCCGTCTACCCTCCTCTCCCACCTCTCCCCGACTTCTCCCCTCCCCTCCCCCAGACTCCCTGACGGATCATCACTTCGGAAGACCAGTTCCTGAGCTCCGTGATGACAGGGCTGAGGAGTGGAGCTGGAGACCTAGGAAGTATAGAACTCAGGACCCCAGCCCCTTTCCGTTTCCCCCTCATTCTTGCAGTGTCTTCCTAAATTTTATCTAAAGTTACACAATCATATGTATTTAATGTACATAACTTTATCTAAACATGTATATGTAAAAAAAATAGAAATAAGCTTAATAGATTTTTCTGATGTTTTATTTCTTTAAAAATTTTTATTTGTGGACCATTTTTAAAGTCTTTATTGAATTTGTTACAATATTTCTCTTGTTGTTCTATTCTGGCTTTTTGGCTGAGAGGAATATGGTCTAGCTCCCCGACTAGGAATTGAACCCCGTGCCCTCTGCCTTGCAGCAGGAGCCCCAACAAAGCCTTGCCTGAATTTCTTGTCTGGCTTCTTATCGATTCCTATTGATTAAGGAGACCAAGAACCCTGGTCGTTAGCACTTTGTTACACAGTCATAGAAAACTAATACAAACACAAAGATCTTCCCAGTTTTTGCCCAGTGCCATAAATTCCTTCTTTTTCCTCTAATATTCTTGTCTGCACTCAATCATTCAATCCTACTTTTTCCAAGCCACTAAGCCAGGCAACCATGCAACACACATTTTTCTGATTGCTCCCTTATGAGATTCAGGATATGGTAGAAGGCTTTCTCACCTGTGAAATGCTCACTGGGCATACTCCCCACTGCATTTTCTGATGTTGAGTGGGAACAACAGCAGGAAAAATAAGGGACTCTCAGCCTCTAGTGTTTCTGCTGCTGCTAAATCGTTTCAGCCGTTTCTGACTCCGTGCGACCCTACTGAGCTAGCCCACCAGGCTCCTCTGTCCATTGGATTCTTCAGAAAAGAATATACACAGGAGTGGGTTGCCATCCCCTCCTCCAGGGGATCTTCCGGATACAGGGATTGAACCCGCATCTCTTATGTCTCCTGCGGATTCTTTACCGGTAGGGCCACCTGGGAAGCCCTTCTGGTGTTCCTAGGAGAAGTTGAAGAGAAAGAGACGGCCTGGGGAATTATTTGCATTTGGGGGGACATTTCATAGCCTGTCATCTTCACTTCTCAGGTGTAGTCTTCGATGAAGTTCATATGCACCTTTTTTTTTTTTTGCTTTAATGGTTCCTGGCAATCACCCAAGCCGGTAATGACGGCAGAAGCTCCTCTAGGGAGCCCCCCGCCGTGGGCGGCGGCCGCTGCGCCTTATGGAGGATGTAGTCCGGGAAAGCGTGGACCGCCCCGTGGGAACCTGGGAAGGACGGCCCGGCGGCCTCTTCTGCGCATGAGCCATTGCCAGCGCTCTACCTACCGTACTTTCCAGTTTTCTGCCGAGTCCGTGTTCCTGTTCTCTAGGCTGTTCCGGGGAAAGAGTACTGCAGCGTCCGGACCCCGCCCTTCCGTGGTCTCCTGGGCGAAGCAGGTGCACCCGCCAGATAAAGGATTGGCAGGGAGCTCCGAGCCCTCGGGGCGGGGGGCGAAGGGCTGCGCGGAGCTGGCCTCGGCCCGCGGAGAGTGGACGAGCTCTCTGCCCGCATCCCTTTCCAGGGACGCCCCGAGGTGGGTTCCCCGATGGTCGATGGTCGGTCGGGAGAAAGGCGACAGAGGGCAGAGTTCCTCACTTGCAGACCTCATGACGGGCGCTCCCTGCAGCCCCCCTAAAAAGAAGGTGCCCTGTGAAGGTGCAAGGTTTGTACATGGTTAAAGAGGGCAAGAGGAGAAGGGGGCAGCGACAGAGGATGAGATGGTTGGATGGCATGACTGACTCAATGGACATGAGTTTGCGCAAACTCCAGGAGCTGGTGATGGACAGGGAAGCCCCGTGTGCTGCAGTCCACGGGGTGGCCGAGAGTCCAACAGAACTGAGCAACTGAACAACAAATAACTACAATCTTGTCCCCAAAGTTCCACTGATGCAACTTGGATCTGCAGCCTGTTAGGCTGGGTTGAAGAGTAGTGGAGACCAGCAGGGGAGAGAAGGAATATTTATTATAGAAACAAATGTTATAATCATTGTATTCGTTATTTTATACTATGCATACATTGGAAGAAAAAATGTGAGCTTCAGTTGCCGGGAATGGCCAGGGAGCAGATTTGACCTGAAGAGATTTCAGGGGGCTGGGCGGTGGGGGTGATGTCTGCTGTGCCGCATGAGGTTTTAAGAGCAGATATTTGTGTTTAGACCAGGTCCTGTCACAGAAGCACTGCCTCCCAGGGCATCTTATTTACACTCATCATGTTTTCTCATCTGAAAAGTGAGCCTAGGAATAATATTTGCCTCATTGGGTTGTTCTGAGGTAAAACAAGATAGCACTTGTAAAAAGCAAGCCCGTGGGACTTCCCTGGCAGTCCAGGAGTTAAGACTGAACTTCCACCACAGGACGCTTGGGGTGGATCTCTGGTCAGGGAAGTTAAGAGCCCACATGCCCCCTGGTGCAGTAAACAACAACAACAACAAAACACGTATGTTGCAGGGAGCAAGCCAGAATACAATACACTCTGGACTTGTGTCCCTTGCGATCAATGTTACAAAGATTTTTAGATATCTCACTCAGTCCACCCAACCAGGCTGTGAAGTCAGCATTACCGCACCTTTAGGAGCACATTTTATAACTTCGTTTACAGAGAGCTAAAGTGATTTATTCCCTGGTAAATGAGATTTTAAACTGTTTAAAAGTCTGTTTTCGTGAGGTCTGTTTTCCTCCCAGTCTCATGGTGGGGCTTTCTTTGTGGGGCTTCCCAGGTGGCACTGGTGATAAAGAACCCACCTGCCAATGCAGGAGACGCAGGTTCAATCCCTGAGTCAGGAAGATCCCCTGCAGGAGGGCATGGCAACCCCCGCCAGTATTCTTGCCTAGAGAATCCCATGGACAGAGGAGCCTGGCAGGAGTCGTCCATGGGGTCGTAAAGAGTCGGACACAACTGAAGCAGCCTAGCACACGTGCACGATCTTTGTAATATACATTCCCCCTGCCTGCCCTCATTGTTTTTTTTGGCATGATGACTTGCCTTCTCTGTGCCCTAGGAAGCAATTATACTATGTATTTTGATAATCAAACCATTGGAGCTATTTTTCTTAGGTCACAAGGCATAATCGAGGCTTCTAGGCTCATTCTGCCCCCTGCAGCTTTGTCTCACTCTGCAGCCTTAATTGGGCTTTAGAAAAGGTCCAGCTCACCAGGCACTTGAATGCTGGGAGTCCAAATGCAGAGTCCAACTGATGGAAATGTGGCTGCTATGCCCAGGTAGAAACAAAACCATCCCAGTGAAGGAAAAAGCAGGAGGCCCCGAGGACAGAAATCACACCTGGGAGAACATGTTTCTAAACCGAAACCTCTTCCTAGAGTTTTAAGGCAGAGACAGAAGAATCCCTGAAAGAAGAATTTGGGGGCCAGAATTTTCCTCTCCAGGGTGAGTGAAACCTGGGTGATCACACCATATTCAAAGACCTTTGATTGATCATTGTGATTCATGAAAGCCTCAGTTCAACTTTCAGAAGAAAAATGTACATTGCAATGGGAGGGCAAAGGAAGGGTGCAGATGTGTTAAAGAGAAAAAGACACTTTATGAGGATTCATTCCATAGAAAACCATCGCTTACATTTGTTCTTTGTCTGCTAAGTCACCTCTGACTCTTTTTCTACCCATGGAGTGTAGCCTGCCAGACTCCTCTATCCATGGGGTTTCCCAGGCAAGAATACTGGAGTGGGTTGTCATTTCCTTCTCCAGGGGATCTTACCGACCCAGGGATCAAACCTGAGTCTCCTGCATTGGAAGGTGGATTCTTTACCACCAAGCCACCAGGGAAGCAAGCCCACTGCTTACATTTTCTCAGTATAAGAAGTTCTACGTGGGAGGAAGGAGCCAAGATGGCGGAGGAATAGGACAGGGAGACCACTTTCTCTCCTACAAATTCATCGAAAGACCATTTGAATGCTGAGCAAATTGCACAAAACAACTTCTGATCGCTAGCAGAGGACATCAGGCGCCCAGAAAAGCAGCCCATTGTCTTCGAAGGGAGGTAGGACAAAATATAAAAGATAAAAAGGGAGTCAAAAGAGCTACGGACGGAGACCCGTCCCGGGAAGGGAGTCTTAATAGAGGAAGTTTCCAATCACCACGAAACCCTCGCACTGGCGGGACTGGGGGAAGTTTTCGGCAATCTAACTGGGAGGAAAAATTAAACAAGGCCCACAGATTACGTGCCTAAAAGCAACTCCCAGCAGAAAAGTACCCCAGACGCCCGTACCCGCCAGCAACAACCGTGGGCGGGACGGAGAGGAGCGGGCGGCATTGCTTAGGGCCCGAACACACTGCCAGCGGTTCGCAAAACAAAGGGACTGAGAAAGTCCAGAGAAGAGCCGGCCCATCCCCGCTGGAGGTAGGAGGCAGGGGGGAGGGGAAAAGGGCAAACTCAGCCCCTGAGAAGCCACCCCCTCCCACACTGCAAACAGGCCCCCCGGTTCCTATCTAAAGACTTCCTGAGACCCGACTGGCGGCGCGCGCGCTGGGGCCGCGGAGGGAAAAAGCGCGCCGTACCCGGGGAGAGTGCGCCCAAGCCTCTGGCTGCCTGGGCCGCTCGCCGCGGAGGGAAAAGGCGCGCCACCTCCGGGGAGAGTGCGCCCAAGCCTCTGGCTGCCTGGGCTGCCCGCCGCGGAGGGAAAAGGCGCGCCGCACCCAGGGAGAGTGCGCCCAAGCCTCTGGCTGCCTGAACCGCTCAGGCCGGGGAAGGCACAAAACGCAGGCGCAACCGAATCTGCGTTTTTGTGGAGTACCCGAAATCTGGAACCGCACTCAACGCAGGGCCCGCTCCATATAGAGCAGCCGGGAGCCTGAGCAGTGTAGACGGGGAAAGCACTGACACCCGTGAGCGGGGCAAACCCAGTGTGGCCGGAACACGGTGAGTGCTTTCCACACAGAGCGGTATCTGTCTGCAGCGCCCCGCCCTCCCCGTAGCAGGACTGAACTGAACTAGCGAACCTAAATAAGAGATCACCTCCACCCGCCTGTGTCAGGGCGGAAATTAGACACCGAAGAGACGGCAAACAGAAGCCAAATAAACAAAGGGAACCGCTTCAGAAAGGACTGGTGCAACAGACTAAAATCCCTGAAGGTAACACCGACTACACCAGAAGGGGCCTACAGATATCGAGAAGTGTAAGCTGGAAAGAGGAGCTATCTGAAATTGAACTGAACCTACGCTGACTGCAACAACTCCAGAGAAATTCCTAGATATATTTTTTTTTTTTAATTTAAAAAAAATTTTTTTTTTCTATCTTTTTTTTTAATTTTTTTTAATTTTTTCTCTTTTATTTTCTTTGAAAATTCCCTATTACTCCCCCATTACTCCTCAACTTTCATTTTCATATATTTTTACAATTTTTTTAATTAGGGAAAAAAAAATTTTTTTTTCTTTTTTTTTCTTTTTCTTGTTTTTCTCTCCTATTTTAAAGTCCTCTAATACTCCTCTATTATTCCTTAATTTTCATTTTCATTTCACTATAACCTTGCCAAAAAAAAAAAAAAGAGAGAGAGAGAAACCCTATTTTTAAATCAAACTTCATATACATTTCTAAATTTTGTTTTTGTTTTTGTTTTTAAATATTGTATTTCAAAGAGTCTAACCTCTACACTAGATTTTTAATCTTTGTTTTTCAGTAGTAGGTGATATAAATTTTGGTCATTTAAGAATCCAATATTCAGTTCCCATTTCTATTCAGGAGTGTGGTGATTACTCTCCCACTTTTGACTCTCTGTTTTCTACCTCGGAACACCTCTATTTCCTCCTTTCCCCTTCTCTTCCCAATCCAACTCTGTGAATCTTTGTGGGTGTCTGGGCTACGGAGAACACTTTGGGAACAGATAACTGTGTAGATCTGTCTCTCTCCTCTTGAGTCCCCTTTTTCTCCTCCTGATCACCTCTATCTCCTTCCTCCCTCTCCTATTCTTCATGTAACTCTGTGAACCTCTCTGGTTGTCTCTCACGGTGGAGAATCTTTTCACCATTAACCTAGAAGTTTTATTATCAGTGCTGTATAGTTGGAGAAGTCTTGAGACTATTGGAAGAACAAAACTGAAATCCAGAGGCAGGAGACTTAAGCCCAAATCTTGAGAAAACCAGAAAACTCCTGACTACACGGAACATTAAGGAATAAGAGACCATCCAAAAGCTTCCATACCTACACCAAAACCAACCACCACCTAAGAGCCAATAAGCTCCAGTACAAGACATACCACGCAAATTCTTTAGCAACGCAGAAACATAGACCTGAGTGTCAACATACAGGCTCTCCAAAGTCACACCTAACACATAGATCCGTCGCAAAACTCATTACTGGACACTCCATTGCACTCCAGAGAGAAGAAATCCAATTCCACGCACCAGAACGCTGACACAAGCTTCCCTAACCAGGAAACCTTGACAAACCAATCGTCCAACCCCACCCACTGGGTGAAACCTCCACAATAAAAAGGAACCTCAGACCACAAGAATACAGAAAGCCCACTCCAGACACAGCAATCTAAACAAGATGAAAAGGCAGAGAAATACCCAACAGCTAAAGGAACATGAAAAAAGCCCACCAAGTCAAACAAAAGAGGAGGAAATAGGGAATCTACCTGAAAAAGAATTTAGAA